TTCGCGAGACCACCGGGACTGATACAGCTGCCCAGGTAAACGAATTTGTCTACTACCTCAATCGGTTCATCCGCAAGCATGAGACTAGGGTTCGAGCCCATCCAGTCTTGCAGTAGCACTTTACACTTTGCAGGTGTGAAGCGCATACCAAACCGGGAGGCAGAATTATTTAGATAATTTAGTATTGTTTGCAATCCCACGGGGTCAGATCCCAGAAGAGCTATGTCGTCTGCGTACTCGATATCTGTGAGCGGAGGCCCAAGGAGCACTTTGACTTCATAGGCATTAGAGGCTGGTAGTGAGTCTTCCATGATCGTATCAATGACGAAGTTAAAGAGGAAAGGTGAAAGAGGACAGCCCTGTCGGACACCACATGATGTGGTGAACTCAGGAGAAAGCTTCCCGTAGACCTTCACACGGCCGCGGCAGTTGGCGTACAGCGCCTTAATGAGGTTCATGAATTTATGGGGGACACCTTTGCTCCACAGACACTGCCATAGTGCTTGGCGGTAGGTAGGTAACACCAACGAGCAACCAAGAGCCTTGGACAGGAAAGAGTAACCTGATTTAACGCCGCTCTGATTGATGTTGACTCATCTTTGTACCCCCGAATTCCGGTTTCGTTTGAATTCACGAATGTTTTTGCCACGCCCCTGTCTTCTCACCTGTGCCGCCCGACCTGTGTGAATGTGTGCCGCGTGGATTCAGTAATACAAATCTTTATATATGCACATTTCAGAACCTACGTATGCCGTCGCTTCATCCTCTCGAACGTTGAATACCGCTGGCTTCCTGACGCCCTACGCTACAATCGTTTTTCATCCCGTGTCGACCGACAACCCCAGCGCCCTAGTAACTGCCTGGCTCCTAACATAAGTCTGCTTGTGTCATTAGACACGTCCATTTTTATTATATCCATCAGATACTGAAAATTCCGCCGCAATAACTCCTTCAAAGAACTGGAAAAAGCCGATGACCTCACTTCGCGCTATGCACTTTTGGCCACCAAAAGTGTCGAACACCAGCCAATCCAGTTCTGCCGCAGTGCATATCGAGTGAGCATGCACCATTGTAAACGTGCCCAACGCCCATTTCAGCACGCTTGGAAGGCCTCATAACTATCGTCAGAAACTCTGAGGACGGAGAGTAAGCTGGAAGCTAGAGAATCGGTGAAAATTTTAGATGAAAGCCACCGAAGGTGAAAACCCTTAAGAGAGATCACAAAATCACAAATCACTGAGAAAATGAAGAGCAGCGGTGCATCCTTTTTTCACTTGTGCCTTTCAGGTGAACCGCAGATGCTGAACGATAAGAACAAAATCGACCAGGGAAACTTGGGAAAAAGCCTCAATCCTGTGTGTCAATCTGTGAATCGGTGAATCCGTGAATAGCTATAAAGGCACTTCACTCTTCGATAAATGTCATATCCATGCCGTAAAACTCTCACTTAGATTCTGACGATCGTGTCCAATATCGATCTACAGAAGGATCAACTCCTGTTACAGAATCCCTACTGGGTCTGACATGAAATCACCCGGTTTCCACCAAAACGTGAACTTGAACTTGGGCCTTGTTTAACTATTTGAAAGGTGCACCCACTCACGGAAATAGGTAACGCCGCCCAATTGTTTTTGTGCTGTTTGCACAATTTCAGCATCGGAAAATGGTTTCGTGAATACGAATTGATTTCCTAGTTTTTTCGACACCTTTCTTACAGGAAATAATTGCTGTTTGAAAATGGAACGGACTTATGATTCGCGAAAAACGCAAAACGGAGATTCAGGTGGCCCAACTCCATCAGACAACACCAAACAACTCCTGTGTTTGTGTAACGACAACAATCATTGTGTACGCAACCCTCTCCCGTCGGATATAGTTCGAACAGGTGGATTGAAGAAAGGGATTGACGTGGACAGACATTTGGGTCATTGCGTTACATCGGTTGAAGGCGGCTGTTACACTGTCAAGGATATTGACTTAAATGCTTTGCGTGATTTCAACTTTAACAGTAAAGATCTTGCTATTAGTGGTTCATCATCATCTTTACTATCAGAAGAAGAAGTAAATCAACCAGCGGAAACTCTGCTGCACCCACAAGAAGATGGATTGCTTGTGACTAAACCACCAGAATTCAACGTGGAACGTTTTATACACGTGCGTTATGGATGTTTGTCGTCACATTCAAAACTTACCCTTTCTTGTAAGGGGCATTTAGTCAGACATCTTGTGCCAAAAGCAATATCTTGTTGTAATAACTCCAACTTTTGCAACGCCGAACTCGCTCCAGAATTCATGCATCATTCTTCAAACTTTGAAGCTTACAAGGCCGCCTTGGTGAATCATAAACTGTTCGATTCCAACCCGAATGTTGTTCGTCGTCCGAGAATTAACACGGAGTTGAACATTGGTCCAAATCTACTAAGTGGTGGAAAGTTGCTCTATGATTCACCAACATCAAAAAGTGCGGTTAACTCTGAGAATAAATTTTCAGACAAGACACATGCAATTAATTTGGTCCTTATAGTTGCATTTAGCATTGTTGTAGCTTTCCTCACCCTTACAATGTTGGGTGTTTATTACTGCTATAAGCATCGTCTCCAAAAGCGAAAGCTAAGAGTTTTGGAATCCGTATTGTGGTACCCTTCACCCCATAGTCATTATGTGGCTGCAAAGTGCAGTCAGTCATCCTCCATGAATACTGGTTTCGTCGGACACAACAAATATACACGAACGACTAAGAATTTTGGTAAAGTACACAAAGCAGTTGACCACAGCGGACCTGGAGGTTGTAGTTTACACACGGCCACGACGAGTTTGACGAGGACGGTCGTCGGTTCTGACGAACTTCAAGGTCCACAGTCCTCAAAAACAAACCGCTTCTGTGCTACACAGTACACTGTGAGCAAGCAAATATACTTGGAAAAGTTTATTGGCCGTGGCAGGTTTTCAGACGTTTGGTTGGGTGAGTTTTCAGTTGTTATAAAATGACTGGTTTCTGACGTTCAGCAGTCGAAGTGACGCATAGTAAATTCCAACACTTTTTATGTTTCACGCAGTTTTACTAGCCTACTGCGGTCTAACGTAAACCACTACAGATTATTTTACCACCTTTTTGCATAGATTTGACCTTTGTTCATTGTTCTTGACCTGCGTATACCTGTGCGATGCATATTTAACAAATTATCTGTAGCAAAATCATCCACTGGTTCATTAAAAATTAGCTCCAGGTTTAGTTAGTCCACCTTTATGTATGGTGCTCTTAACCCCTTGATTCTTCTTCATAACGAATTGGGAATTAGATGTTCCTCCGTGGATCAAATAATGACATTCAGCTTTTAGACCAGACTGAATAAAAGCCTTAATTTCTTTTACCTTTTTGGTGTCCAGTCTTCATGCTAACAAAGGCGCAAGAGTCAAAGTATTGTCGGGCTGACCAAACTTAGAATAATTTGCACTGGAGTGTTCAGCTTGAAGCACAAATATTCTCTTCATTGAGTGTGTATCTCAAGCACAAAACTAGATGGAAGCATGATGACTTTAAAGGAGTTACAAGTAGATCACGTATTCTTTTAGATCGCAATGGAAGCAGGAGCTAGAATAAAAATGGATTTTTATACTAAATAGCACATTAGTTCCAATACATCTAACTACTTTAGAATCTTGTACGTTTTGTAGCATTCCACACTCCAAGTTTCTAATTTCAAAAGCAAATAAAAAACACTTAATTATAATGTGTCTTTAAAATGTAAATAGTCACTTGATTTGAGTATTATTATCGCACTACACGTAGTCTGCAGCCCATAGGTGGAGAAATACTCCTGGTGTGCTAATGAGTCACTCTCACAAGTTCTATTTTGTGGGGAACGAGCGTACAGGTAAACCGTATCAAAAGGTTTACACCGTGGCAAAGGCATAACAATCTTCCAAGAGGTCACTCTTTAAAAGTTGCATTCTTAAACGCTCAGATGGTCAACTGCGACAAGAAGTTAGGTTTTACAGCACCACTACTGTTTCACCTACAGTCCACCTACAGTGCTGTATCTGCGCACTAATTTATCAGCTCCCGCCTTCAGTGCGCAGCTGCCTACCCCAACTCTCCGAATCATTGGTGAACGAAACTGTGGCAGCACTGTACGACAATTACGCGGTTATTACAGCTGACAATGATGACGACGATGACTACCGTTTTATACAACCAAAGCTTACAGATATTGGTGCAAATGTCTGGAAAAAGTGTATATATGGTAAGGTGACCAGCAAAAAATAATCTGAGCTTCTTTTCGACTTTGGTTGTCAGTCAGGTGCTTTATTAATCAGCTCGAACTTTTCAATTAGTATCCATCATTACGCACATCTTACTTTGTAATCGCACTGTCACATTTCAGTTACCAGTCACTCAGTAGAGATAGCGAAGGGTTTTCTAGTGGAGGTTGAGTTACATCTCGCTATCACAGGGTAAAGCTTTTCTGCACGGAGTATTAGACTCTGGATGAAAACAGCTGGAATGCACAAATAACAGGATTCGTTGGTTCTTGGGGCCAGAAACGTCTATGGGTGCGAGACATGGCCTCTGGAGACATGATGTGAGGGGTCTTCAGGTAGTTGATCACTGATTCTTCAGAAGCGTGGCAAGTTTTGGATGGCGTCAGCGTTTTAGTAGCGAAGTGATTAAGAAACAGGTATCACGTTGTGCTTCAGGTACTTCAATCGGGGAAAACATTCGACTACGGTGGCTCGGTCATGTGCTACCCATGCTGAAACACCGTCTACCGAGACGAGTGTTGTTCTCCGTGCCTCCTCCAGAATAGCGCAAACCGCGAAATGGACAGCGCATGATTTGGCAGACAGGCGTGAAAGAGACCACGAAGATATCGGGTATTTTTCGTGTTGTACGCTTTCCAGGATGGGGTCCCCGTAACCCCACCCGTGCTTGACTGGAGGCGTTGCAAGAAATGCCGCTAGTCGATGTCAGTGGCGTTCGTGCTGTCAGTTTCTTACCAGCTGATTGAGCCCCACTCCTTTTCTCTTCTTTTCACTCTAGGGCTTTTAATGTATATATAATATAATGTATATATATATATATATATAAACTAGACCAACACCTATGGTTGTATGGCAGTGAAGCATCTGTGCCAACAATGATGTTACTGTCTTTGATGATGATGAAATGTCCAATATAACTTAACGTTTGTCTTTGTGCTTGCACTTGTAAACCCATCTAACAAACTGTTTCATCCATTAAGAACTCTTGTCTATAGTATGATTAACGGCCCAGACATGGTCTTGTGGTATTTTATAGCTTTAGCCGTTACTCATCTGTAGAAGATTAACCAACTTTAGAAAGCTCTCAAACTTTCTCAAAGTTTATCTTGCCGTATTCTCTCAGCGTAAAGCAGGTCAACTCTTTGCCTTCCGTAGGCCAGGGCCTATAACATCATTCCCCGAAGTCTTTCAGTCTACGGAAGTTCTCTGAAATTTACATCCTATTTCACTTAACAGAACAATACTACCACGGAACAGTAACTAAGCGACTTAATTTTCCTTTTACCTATCGCTACAGGAGAATATCCTACTCAGAGAGCCAAATGTGTATTAGAATTTTATTTAGAGTTTCTGGAGTGAGGACGGTTATCCTTACGCTAATTCATACAAACGTTAAAGTTTGGGTATGCACATTCTTCGCTAAATTTTAAAATTACATGTATATATGGTGTGCCAATTTACTGTGAACTTAGATAATGAACGCTTGTTTTATGTTTTGTCTGCATTACTGCAGTGATGTCTGAGAAACGTCCGGTTTTGCGGTATCAACCACATTATTAACTACACAAGTTTAGACAACAACTGAAATGTGGTTGAAAATTAATTTTCCTGGAGTAGCACCGAGTTATGAGATTCCCAGAATAAACTTTTCTTGGAAAAAGACTGAGAACAAGATCTTGCTTTATAAGGCAAATCAGGACAGGTTTGGCATACTTGTTTGAGAAACCAAAAGTCTCCGTACGCGCTCATGAACGTGGATTCCAGCTGAGTCATCTTGTTCAGCTAGTGCTTCTACTATATTACAAACCTTGCCACTTGCTTTCGTCTAGTTTTCACAGTAAAACCGCAAGGTTTTCAATTTTTATTATAAAAGCTTCACTTGTACCCGGCACACCAAAGCTTGCTGATGCATTTGGCTTATATATTTTGATTACAGCAAACCTTTGGCGAAAAATTGAAACTTTAACCCTGTTTTTCTACCTGGCGGATGATAAATTATAACACTTTCACACCTTCTAAAGTGTTGTGGTAGCGCCAGGTGAACAAATTGCCCATAAAATTGGCGTTTCTTAACTTCAGGGATGTGGTTAATTCTGTACGGTGCTTCTAGCGGCACCTGTTCAGCAAGAAAGGTCCCAAATTTTTTGAACAAATTCCTATCTTAATATTTGCATACTTTCAGATGTGTATACGGAAGTCTCCTTGAAGGCTTTTCTGTAAAGAGTAGCTCTAGGTAGGAACATCTTCCTCCTCTGCTTCTGTTCAGTTTTGTCGTTGATGAAATATTAAGACCGATGCTGGAGGATCTTGAAGACCCCAGTGCTTACATTTTTGCTGGTGAGAACCTTGTTTGTCTGCTTTACTCAGACGACATCTTGATCTCCAAAGGAGAGATATAAGTGCTGTTGAACAAACTTGCCACATCATCTTTCGGCGTTTTTGAAGTCACCCTTTAGGACGTTGAGTCCATAGACGTGTCCTTTGGGGAAAAGTTTCCTTACCTAGGCACTTGTATTAGTACTGACGTAATTGTGCCTCTTGAGATGGGTTCACAAAGCCCGAAAGCACGAATCACGTTTAATAATGGGCATCCAAATGGTGCCGTGTACCAGGCCAGAGTACAATTTTTGTTGCGTGTTTGTGACCAAAAGACATGGCCGCTGTGCGAAGATGATCTGGGGTATCTTTAAGTTGTTGATGAACAATATCTCAGTTGTTACAATGGTTTTGGATGCTGTTGACGAATCCATAATAATGTAATCAGCTCTATGGCAGGCACATCACTCGCCTGAAAAAATTCAGACCAGAAACTACGGTAATTTATCTATATTTCGCGCATGCTAAATCACAGTATACCAAGACAAGGGTTCTTAGTATCTCATTTAGAATGGCGAAAACCACGGGATGAATAGCGTGATGGAGTAACGGTGACGTTTGCTTTACGTGACCAGCGACGCTCAGAGAGGTGACGACCACCTGACATCAATTGACTTTTTTACTGTTAGCTTGTTCAGGATTGTCCGATTGAGCATTTAAAGCTGCAGGCTGCCTGCGGTAATCTAGCATCTGACCCCTCCTCATGCAGGCTCTTATCCCTCTTATTTGTGAGCTTTTGATGCAAGTGAACAGTTTTTATGGCCGTGCTGCATTGAGATGACAGTGAAAACATTGATAACGCTGTCTCTTTGGATGACTATGCACAAATGAGAATACGCGCGCTAAAGGTATGCGACCAAAGCAACTTGTACTGGCACTTAGGTAGACAAAACAATCACGTGACTTCATCCATACAGTGCAAAGGCCGCTTCATCTTGCTTTTTAAATTCGGTTGATTTTCACCTGCAATTCCAAGGGAAAGACATCGTATACCTGATGAACGGTGCTCTAGATTGGCCGCTTCTGGCCGAATCTGTGAGCAATTTCCATAGGCCGGTGTTACTGTAAACTCCGTTGCCTAATGAAGGCACGGTGTGTATGGTATATCGAATTGTTTTAGTTCAGTGAACGTCGTAGGTGTGGTTGATCTTCCACGTTGTACAATGAGAAATGCCCCTGACGAGAAGTAATAAAACTCCGGACTTTTAATGAGTTTTGTTGATCTCTAAGTAGCTCTTAATCGGATCATGTACAGTAACAGTTAATGCAAACAATGCATGGTGGTTGTGACCCGTATTTGTGGGCACTCTCTGGCTCAGTATA